GGGGGGTGTCAGCAGGGAATAGGGAATACTCTGTTTACCAGGGTGTCCCTCAGGATTACTAGAAAACACTGGCCATAAAATGAAGGAGAGTAGATTTAGATTGGACATCAGGAAGAAATTCTTTATGGTGAGGGTTGCCAAAATATGAAATGGGCTTCCAAGGGAGGTGGTGCTTTCCCCTGCCTTGGAGGTGTTCAAAAAGAGATTAGACAAGCACCTGGCTGGGGTTACTTGACCCCAGAACTCTTTCCTGCCCAGAGCAGGGGATTGGACTCAATCTAATAGGCCCTTTCTGACCCTAGATCTACAATGGGTTTCAACTTGGGCAGTTTCTAAACTATGCAGCAGGTCTCAAAAAAAAATAACAGCTGCACATCATAAATGCAGATTTTGTCACTCCAAGCTGTGCATCAGACCCTCACAGGCAGATAGATTTATCCTGTTACAGGAAAAACAAATGAGAATCTGGTACCTGGTCACAGTGGAGTAACTTGCAGCTACAGGAAGAATCCTGGTCACCAGTTCTTTAATTGACATGTCCAAATTGGGGTCCACTAAGAAAGCTCGATTCTGTCTGCCTATAAGAGGCTGTGCTGTGATGTGTCTTCCATCCACACCAATCAAAACATAGAGCAAATCCTCCACAATCATGGACTCTTGAGAAGCTAATGGTAAAGTGCCTGTTTGATAACAGAAGACAAAAATAAAAATATATGAACACATTACAGAGCTATTCTCAGTGACACTCCATTTATTTGGTGGATGGGCTTCTTGCCTGCCTGCTTTTAGTGCATATATATTGACACACACAAAATGAAGACATAAGGACTCACCTGACATCCAAGGCCAGGAGAGAAGAACAAGTTTACATTTGTTTTGCTTCTCTGACCTTCCCATCTGGATCATAGATACTAATTTAACTGCACTTGGCCTGGAAAGGTCCAGTTCTTGTCATATTTTTCCCATAGGGTTGAAATATTTCAAGTACAGAAGAAAAAACACCAAGTGCCACAAAAACCCTCTAATGTAACAAACCAAACTGGATACTGCAGATTCCAAATCAGAGGGTATTAGAGCAATGCAGTGTGAAGCACCCATACATCAATTCTGGAGAAGTAGATGGAAATCACCCAAGAGAGACCAATGCCAAACAATTAAACATAGAATCCTTTTTGGTTCTTTATCAGATGATTAAAAAAAATTGACAGTCCCTATTCTTGGAAGTTGGGGCTCAGCCTCACCTATGCCAGTTTCAACCTCCATCTCCAGGTGGACCACAGAGGTCACAAGAGTACAAGATTCAGATCTTTCCTTTTGAAAAAGCAAAGACACTGTGAGGAATGTCCAGCAGTATGGCATTAAAAAAAATCTGGGTTTTCTTTGGACCGTAATTTAACTGGAAGGCCAAGTTACTCCAGCAAGCAGAAATGAAATGAAGACACCGATCTGGGTCAGAGCTAAACAAGGTAGATCTCTGCTACAAGCTCCTGTTAAGCCAAGTCTTTGCACGAGTTTTTGACACAAAGTAGGACCATCCAAACATACCATCTTGGGACAGTCTCTCAGACCGATGTAACCAAACCTTTCTGCAAAAGCAGATTCTCAAAGTCTTTTGAGAATTTACCTTGAACACTGCACAAATCACAACCACTAAGACATAAAATGCAAAGCATTACACAGGGCAAGAGCAACACCAACCCTGTTTTTTGGGAGAGGGGGGTAAGGGTCAGGAGAACAAATAAATGACATTTCAACAAATCCACAGAAAATACACACACAATCCACTGATAATCACAACTAGCTCTGAAGATTTAACACAGACGTAAGTAGAGGCTGGCTCCCTTACTGCTATGGGTGCAATGACAGTACTCCAAATGCTCTGGCTGCATAGATTGGCATGACCTTCCTATAGCAAGGTTATAAGGAAACAATAGCAATAAGGGAAAAAAGCTGAAGAAATAAAAGATTTTTTCCCTGATTTGAAAAATGCACCTCCTATACACAACCTCAGCCCTTCTACTAATAAATGCCTATTACACTTGTGTTGCAGAATACATAACTCAAACAATATTACCTCCTTTCAACACATTTCTCAATGGTTTGAATTACCTTATGAATGGATAATACATTTAATAATTTTTCAACAAACTCACTGTATTATCATACCAAACCATCTGTAGTATCCAATTAAGTTTTAGGGCTCGATTCACTGATAAATACGAATAAACAAAGGTTTAGAGCTTGTCTCTGACTCAGTCTCTTCCATTACTGAGTTACTTAGAACTCAGATATTTCCCAATCAAGAATATGCAGTAAAATTTTAAGATCATAGAACAAATGTATTGTAAAAATACTCAAATCAATTTTGCCCATGTGGCACATACCTATAGGCAATGTTGTGTCAGTGCCTAAACTGGAGCCAATTAAGAAATCCCCAGTGAGTGCAGGTCGCTCATATACCCAGGCTGGAAATACTGGAATAGGCTGTCCAGAATTCTTCTTGTTTTGCTTGTCTCGGAGAATCTTTCGTGTAAGCTCGAGAGGCTGCCAGCAAGGAAACAGAAATTTCTTTAAAGGCTCAAAATACTTTTTATGCCTTAGCACAGGGGTAGACAAAATGCGGCCCGCGGGCTGGATGTGGCCCACTAGGCCATTCTATCCAGCCCATAGGATCTCCCCAAAATTTAGAAAATAAATATTAATCTGCCCTTGGCTGCCTGTCATGCAGCCCTCAACGGCTTGCCAAAACTCAGTAAGCAGCCCTCCATCTGAAATAATTGCCCGCCCCTGCCTTAGCATTTCAAGCCAGGCATCAAATACAATTCTCAAACTAAGCAATCCAAGGAAAAGGCTTGGAAAATTGACTTTTCAGAAATATCATGTAGGACTGCTACTGCTTTTATTGTTGGTGACTGGACTGTAGGGCTGTTTTTAGAATTGTAGAAGTGTATTATTTTCACTGAGTAAAAAACCAGTAGCCTGATTTTTCTCTCACACCTGTCAGTTCTATGGCTCAGTTAAGAGAACAGACAGAAAGGCAGGTTGCCTTTCACAACTAAGTGAGATCAGCTAATACCACTTAAGATATTGTTGACCTTTGCCATTTTAGGTAGGTTTGGCCAGTGTTCCAAACAAGCTGATTATTTAAAATGTTATTTTTCACTAGTTACAAATTCATAAGAGTAGAGAACTGCAACATGATCCATAAAGAAACCACACCTTCTAACTTGTGAAAAGAATAATTTGTTAATTTACAAATATTCAACATCTGAACTGCACACTGTAGGTAATTCATGGCATTTTCTATTCAAATGAATTGCTCCCCTAAGACTGGTAAACATGTGGCACCATTCAACAGTGCGCAATCCCAGAAACCCGTAGCATATGCACTGGCTTATTGTCCACTAACAACTCCAATAAGAATGCACATTGTGACTTTTGCCTTTGCTATAGTTCAAGGACACCAGGAAAGGAGTTGCACTACATATTAAGTGTTGAGTAGGTTGAGGGCACAGTATGAGCTCGATTCTGGATTTCTGTATTCCTGGGGCTTGTAGATGTGCCTTTACATGTGGGAACAGTTTTGAAAATTAACCCAAATAAAATGAGGATACAACCTGATAGTGAAACGAAGTGCATTAAACCCTTGTGTGGAAACTTAGGCTGCTTGCAGACATGGAAACGAGAAGAAACTGGTACTTTCCTTTAAACTTGGCATGCTCCTGCACTGAGCCCAGTGCATACCCAGAAGAGGCAGCACATTAGTTGCACTCAGCTTTCCCAACAGCTGTATAGAGCAGGAGCTTTAGTGGGGCTTTTTAGGCACATTTATCTAATAGCTGATTGAATCAGCTTTAGCTAAAAGCACCAAAATGCCCCACTGAAGCGCTCACTCTCTACAAAGACTGCAGAGCTGAGCTGAAATAATGCGCTGCTGCTTCCAGTAGAGTGCATTTTCCCCCCAATGTTGGTCAATGCCCTTTCATTCAGAATTAGATTTGGCTTCATTTGGTTTAGCTTAATTCAAATTTGGAAGGATCCAACTTATTTCACTTTGGTAATGAATTAAACAAAACTGAATTAAGTTTACTTGAATTCCAAATGGAAGTGTTCGCACAGGGATTTAATGTAGTACACAGTAGCACAGCTTAAAGTAAATTTAGATTAACCACCCGTCTTGGAAGATATGCTGCAAGATAGTAAAAGGCAAGGGATGAAAGCCCCACAGTACATAAATGCGAGGGTAGTCTCGTGTCCTTAGCCCATGAAAAGGAAAATACCTGCTGTACACTAGAGTTGGTGGCCATACTGCCAAGCTGTCTGCGTAACTCTTCAAGCTCCTGCAGAGAGATCTTGGAAGTGGTTGCTGGAATGATAAAGCTGCTGCTGCTACCAGCAGCAGCATTTGCTGCAAGATCTGCCCGCTCCTTAGCATTCTGCTGCAAATACTGGAGTGTCTGTAAGCACATAACAGCAGAAAGAACATCTCTGAAAGTAGGGTCAACTGCCTAAATCTTTTCACCTGCTGTTGTTACAAATAACCCCTTAAAAGGGTAACAGATTTCCAGTGGGGGTGGGGAGTGAATTATTTTCCTGTGAGTTTACTTTGTGTCTGACAGCATTTTCTTCAGAGTATTGTTACTCTGATAAAGTGACTAGGGAATAAGGCAGAAAGGGGGGCAGCACTTGTGAATTTTTCAAACAGGAATAATGAAAAACCTTTTAAAAATGAGACTGTAAGACCACAATTGTCAGATAATTGAAAATGCAGAACATATGTTAACTCATTTTAAAAAACCTAAATGTATATGGTGTCCAGTGAAAAGCTGTATCCATCATGAATTCCAGCAGCATGGAACTTGTAATGTGCAAATAACTGCTTCAAGGGCAATATTTAAACAAGAATAATAAAGACTTGCAATACAAATTGCTCAATGCAGAGATACGCAAGTGTTTAGTTTTTATGCTTAATTTTCTCTTCACAAAAAACCCTACACTCAAGTGCTTAAGCACTTCAGAGCGATTTAAAAATAGTTAAAACTTCCTTATTGTTTCAGTTTTACAATCATTCAGAGACACATTAATACCTTCTTAGAGCGTAAATGGAATGTTTTTTCACCTTAAGTCAAAATGTCTTGAATAGTTTATTCTAAAAAATAAAGAGAAATTCCCCAGAAGTTACAAGTAAGTGAAGATGATGGGGAAAAATGCCTGCCCCCACAACCTTAACTAGCACATATATTACCAAGGCATAATACAGAGTGCAAGTGTGTTGGTTCAGACATTTTTTTCTGAACAGTGTTGTAAGAGGATGCTCTATCAGTACAGATACTGCTGGTATGACCAAGTACTCTAGATCAAGCCCATGGTAACGTGGAAATAAACAATACCTCTTTGTCTTCTGTGAGTTTTGATAGGAGATACACCAAAGAATCTAGATTTCTTGTATTTTTGGATTTCAGCTCATCATATTTCTTTAAAAAGTCTTCAGGAGTTCGAGAAAATTCTGCTATCTTAACCTGTAAATCACCACATTTTAATAATACAAATTTAAGCATTAATTCCTATGATTTTAGAGGGGGGAAAGTTTCACATCAACACTTTATAACAGAAAAAAAAAAGAAATACCAGATCTCAACCAGGGTATCTGTAAATAGCTCAATTCTTGGGGAGTGAACTTTGCAAAGACCATTCAAACTCAGTCTACAGAAAAACCAGCATGCAATCGTAACACCACATCAAAACTCACATGTACAAGTAGCCAAAAAATGCCAAGAACTGGCATATACCTTCTAAAAGGCATTGTGGCTAAGTTAATGACACTTAGGACGACATGAGAGATTTGGGTTCCATTCCAGGTTCTCTCAGTGGAGGAATGACAGGATTATGAAAACTTCTTCAAGAACATAACTGTGAAATGCAGAGATCAATTACTGCTCAGATGTGAGAACTTAGATTGCTGGCTTTCCTTTAGGCCAAAAGGTATTTTGTTCTCTCTCTCTCTTACACAAGTATGAGCAGGATCTATTTGACTATAAAGTATGAAATACTTTTTTCCTTCATGCATGCTACTAAGATTTTATCTCTTTCCATCCTTCTCTGAAGCATCAGATATTAGCCACAGCTAAGGCTGTGGATTTTAGGATCACAGGGTTTCATAGTTGGTAGGGTTGGAAGGGACCTGAGCAGATCATCAAGTCCAACCCCCTGCCATGGCAGGAAAGAGTACTGGGGTCAAACAACCCTGGCAAGGTAATTATCTAGCCTCCTTTTGAAGACCCCCAGGGTAGGAGCGAGCACTACTTCCCTTGGAAGCTAGTTCCAGATCCTAGCCGCCCTGACTGTGAAGTAGTGCTTTCTGATGTCTAGCCTGAACCTACTCTCAGTCAACTTATGGCCGTTATTCCTAGTTACTCCTGGTAGTGCTCGGGGGAACAGGGTCTCTCCCATTCCCTGCTGGTCCCCCTTGGTAAGTTTATAGATGGCCACCAGATCCCCTCTCAGTTCAGGTCCCGTAGCTCCTCCTCGTAGGGTCTGCCCTGCTGCCCCCTGATCATGCGAGTAGCCCTCCTTTGGACCCTCTTGATGCCGTTCACATCCCTCCTGAAGCGCGGCACCCAGAACTGGACGCAGTACTCCAACTGCTGCCTGACCAATGTCGCACAAAGGGGGAGGATCACCTCCTTGGACCTGCTCGTGATACATCTGTGGAGGGACCTCATGAGATCATTTAATTCAGCCCCTTGCTCAAAGTAGGTATACCCCTAAATAAACCATCCCAAGCAAGTGTCTGTCTAAATTGCTCCTGAAAATGTCCAAGAATGGAGATTCCACAACTTCTCTAAGTAGCCTGTTTCAATGCTTGACCAACCTCAGAATCAGAGAGCTATTCCTATAATCTCTAACCTAAATTTCCCCTTTGAATCTTGAGGCCATTGTTCCTAATCCTGTCCCCTATGGCCACAGGAAAAAAAAGCCTAATTCCATCTCTCTGTAACTTCCCTTCAAGTATTTGACAGTTGTTACCAAATCCCTCCCTCCCTCTTCCCTTCTCCATGCTAAATAACCTTAGCTCTTTCAGCTTTTCTCAGTAAGTCATGCTTCCCAGGCCTCTAATCATTTTTGAAAACTGGACACAGTACTCCAGGCGAGGCCTCACCACTGCTGAACAGAGCAGAAGAATCTCTTCCCTTGCTTTGCAAGTGACACTCTGGTTAATAAAACCCAACTAGGCAAGGTTCTTTGGGTAGATGTGATATCTTTTATTAGACCAACTAAGTAGTTGGAAAAAAGGTTCTTTGCAAGCTACCCTGGAGTTTTAAAACAGCAAAGACATGCCTGAAGACAGGTGATTGCACCCAGAAGCTTGCAAAGAACTTTTTTCTGACTATTCAGTTGGTCTAATAAAAGATATCACATCTACCCAAAGAACCTTGTCTGTCTATGTCCTTAGACCAGAGGCAGGCAATTATTTTGGGTGGAGGGCCGCCTACCAAGTTTTGGCAAGCTGTCGAGGGCCGCATTGGTAGCCCTGCCCCTTGACAGGTGCCCTGCCCCGGTCGCCATCTTGCAGTCCCACCCCCTAACCTTTGTCACCAGAAGTCCCTCCCCTTGCCCCCGGAAATATGCCTTTCAGCAAGAGATTTTGCCAACTCTGAACCAGAAAAATAAGAAATTATATTCTAAAAAGTGAACATCTGCAGCATTCATTAATTTGCTTTCAAAAAATATTTTTGTCCTGATTTACATGCTTTTGTGTAGTGCACATAGAGGGGATTACACAATAGCTTAAAATGAAGTCTTACTCTTGTATATTGTTGGGGGGGGTGGGGATAGGTTTGTGGGGGGCTGTGGATGTGTGGGTGTGGGGTGAGAGAGCATGTAGGAGTATGTGTGTGGATATGTGGGGTGTGGGTGGGTATGGGGCTTATGGGGGGCCTGCATGTATGGCAGTGTGGGGGGGGGGGTGGCTGCATGTGTATGGCGAGGCATGCATGTGGGACTCAGCCTATGAACACACACACTCCCTGTCTGTGTGCACACGCACGCGCGCGCGCACGCACACACACTTTCTTCTAATCTGCATTTGCAGAACAGTGGCAAATAGGGCAGGCAGCAGAAAACAGAGCAGATTGGACAGGAAGCACAAAGCAAAGGAGCAGATCAGGCAGGGAGCACAGTCTGTATTTCTGATTGGGAGTTCTGGCATTTCTGCTTATATGAGGGCATTTCAGAAGGTAATGGCAATATCAAAATAAAACCATTGTGCATCCAATGATCATTTACAATGCTGCCACCACCACCAGTGTTCCCTGATGTTGTGCACTTTTCCACTTATTGCACACACAATGGTTTTATTTCAAAATTGCTGTTACTTTCTCAAACACCCGCATGGTTAAAAAAACTCAAAGATTCCTGGCTAGAATGTCTTATTTGCTCAGACTTACAGCAATCACAAAATTTGAGGTAAGAAAAGATTTTTTTTTCCTCTTTGGCCATATTAGCAACAACCCTGGGTTGTTCTGCCTTTCTCTGCTGCATGAGGCATTGTCCTCTTATCTACTGAGCATATATATTAATCAATTAGTTACCTGTCACTGCAATGACAGGATATGTACTCTTACGTCCTCTACTTTTATCCATGTACAACATCCCGAAGTTTCACTCCCTTCCCCTGTGCATTCACTTACTCTGCTTCTGCTCCCTGCCCTGTGTTTCCCCCAGCCAACCTCCCACAGGACACACAGACGCTGCAGTTTGGCCACCCTGCTGTAAAGTGTTTCTGGTGTTTCTAGTTTTGTGCTTTGTAGTCATGTGTGAAGGTTTCAAGCAGGGATTTTTAGGAATCTTTGTGTAAATGCCTGTATGCAGATACTGAGGTTCAATAACCCAGGAGGCTCTTTCCAGTTCTGTGTGTCATGTCTGAAGTTACAATTTCATGTAGCAGGAGATGCATAAAGTTCAGTGGAGCCTTGGAACACATGTAGTGCTATGTGGGAAGTCTTGAACTTTAAGAAACAGTGACTGAACTTTCAACAAGTCCCATCACACACATACAAAAGGCAATTTTCTGCCACTTTTAACTTGGTCCTCACAAGTTTCAGGCTCCTCCCCAAACACATGGGATGTGCAACAGAGAGCCTATGGCTCCTGTTACTTAGAGAGGAAAATAGGTTAACTGTGCTCAGGCAGTCAAGAGTGGGGCTAGCTATAAAGGAATAGGCAGCAAGAGCCCATAAATAGGAAGTCCCTTTGCTATTCTAGTTGCACAGCAATAGCACAATAGTAGAGTAACTTGAGGGAAGCAGCAAGAAACCTACTGCACTGCTAGCAGGTTCCAGCCATAGTACAAGACAGAGTTTTGTGGGAGAGACGAGGCAAGATTACTGCTAGGTCTGCTGCTATAGGTTATCCGTATACATTACGGGCTGCATCTGGTTCACCAGGCACTTTCATCTGGCCCATGGATGCCCACCAACGAATTGTACCCCACCCAGCCCTTCTGGCCACGGGGGTGTGAGCAAGGCATCCATATATACATACCCCCAACACACCATATTGCACCTTGTGCAGAAAGGCCCAGCCCAGCCAGCACACAGCTTCTAGGCAGGGCTGCTGCTGCCACTGCTGCAGCCACTGGGGGACTTGCTTGGTTTCCCTGCTGTCTTGCTCGCTTTGGACAGCAGGTAGGGAAGTGGTGGGGGCAAATGGTAGCTGCAGCTGGGCGGAAGCATGGAGCGTGGGGCTGGCAGCAGCATGGAGCCCACACGTAGGGGGCAGTGGGAGTACGGAGCTTGGCTGAGCAGGGTGTGGGTATAAGGGAGAGTGGTGGGGTGTGGGGACCCTCCTTCACACAGTCCCCGCTGATGGCAGCAGCAGCAGCAGGTGGGGGCCCTTTGGGTGCTCATGCCTGGCGCAGGCACTGCCACCAGCAGCATGTGGCTCCATCCAGCACTGCACGTGGTGGCAAGGAGCACAGTCAGGCCAGCCTGCCTTTACTGCATGGGGCTCCACGCACCGCATGTGCAGGTCCCAGCACTCACGCTCCACCATAGGAAGCCCTGCGCAATGGAGCCAGCTGCCTTCACTGCTCCCTGTTGTGCAGGTCCCAGGACTCCACCTGAAGTGGAGGGGAGCCCTGTCCCCTACTTCCACATGGAGTCCCAGGACCTGCGCAGCACGGAGTGGCAAAGGCAGCCAGCTCTATCACGGGGGGCTTCCCCCGGTGGTACACAAATGTGGGAGCTGCGGAGAGCCCTGCACGATAGAGGCAAGCTGGCTTGGCTGTGCTACTTGCCGCCATGTGTAGAACTGACAGAACCACAAGCTGCTGGCGGCAGCGCCTGTGCCAGCCACAAGTGCCCCGAGGATCCCTGCCTGCTGCTGCCAGCGCGGCTGTGTGCCATGAGGGAGAGGGATGGAGGAGTGTGTAGGGGGTCCCCATAACCCCCAACTCTCCCTCACACCCACATACTCCCAACATATGCACACACCCCCAACATACCCTATTGCCCCCCACACAGCCAGACTTCACCATACACCCCCCCACCAACCACACCCCACAATACACACCTCCCACACACTATATACAAGAGTAAGGCTTTATTTTTAGTTATTATGCAATCAGCTCTATATTCAGTACACAAACACAAATCATGACAAAAATAATTTTTGTAAGAAAACTAAAGTGCGTTATAGTAGGTGTTTGACTTTCAGTATATGAATTGGTTTTCTTCTGGTTCCAAGATGGCAAGCCTCCCTTCCCAAAAGGAGTATTTCCAGGGGTACAAGGGAAGGGACTTCCGGTGGCAAAGGTCAGGGGTTAGACTTCACGTCCCAATATGGTGACCAGGAGGTAAAGTACCTGTCAAGGGGTGGGGCTACCCTTGCAGCCCTCGACAGCTCACCAAAACTCATTCAGCAGCCCTCCAGCTGAAATAATTGTCTGCCCCCATGTTACAGGATGCCAAAAGTGCTTAAGTCAAAAAAAAAAAAAAGCTGGATTTTTGTTAAATGTTTTTGACAGAATATCTATTTTTTATCTTATTCCTCAAAATCGGAACCTTTTTTATTTCAGTGAAAGGCAAAATCCAGCCACAGGCAGATACCAAGCCATGAATTTCTTTGCTGTAGCAAATTCCTCTTATTTTAACAACGCTTCTGAGAACAGAAAGCCAAACTCCCTCCCCTCCCTTCCTGAAATATGATCTTACTTTTCCTTCCTCTTCTGCTGCAGACCAGATCACCTTTTCTCCCCACTGCCAGCCTCACCTCAGCTTCACTTCCTGTCGGACATGCTGCAAAGCAGCAACAGGGCAGGATACCCTTTGTTTTTCTACTAACTTCGCTTTGAATTTCTCTTTCTTTACATGTGATTCTGCTATTACTAGAGTCAATGAAATTTCTGCAGTGACATCAGTGAGAGTAGAAACCTTTGGAAGACCAACCTCTAATTAAAACTTATCTCAATTATTATTGCAGCCTAGAAAAAGTCAAGGCTACCTTACCTTGGCACTGTGCGCAGAGACAGTTGTGGTAACATAAGGAGTTCTGTTCTTTTGCAGAAGGTCTATGTATACTTCAGCTCCTTCTCCTCCATGAACACGCAACAGGCTCAGCAGCTCATTGACATCATGATGAATACGAAATTCACTCATGCTTCCACTTGCGGTTACAAATTTCAAAACACACAGACTGTAGAGCACAAAATGAACCTCTTACCATTATGACTAATCAGTCAGGGTAAATTTTTAAAGAAGGATTAAATGCTTAAGGCACAGGTTACACTTAAAATTTTGCCAGCATAGTTTTATTGATTAGAAGATAGAATAGGGAAAGTCATACCCGCGACTGACATAGCTGACAAAAATGATATAAATATAGTTAGAATAAGTTGCTCTAGTATATCTATTCTTAAACTGTTTCCACTAATGAGGAATACCAGCATAGTTCTACCAGTACAGCTATATTGGCTAAACAAGCCATGTCCCATTTTCCAAAGTAACTTTGATACTTAAGGGACTAAAAGCCTATTTACTTTCAATGAGACTTTGACTCTCAAGTATTTAATCATTTCTGAAAATGGGACTTTGGGCATAATGCATAAGGTGCCTTAATAATCTCACATGTAGACAAAACCTTAAATTCCTACACCACTTAAACACTTTGCATAGTACTAAGTAAGTGCTCTTCAGTAAAGACTAGATTTGAAGATGTCTCTGCATGCTGGTAAGGGCTTGCATACATGGTTATCTTGGTATAAGAATATGCGAGTCCCTTATAGTTACTTTTGTTTCCCAGCAAATGCCCAAATAAGATGTGAACTTAAATGATAAAAGCTGATTTAAAATAACTGTCTATGCAGTGAGAATTAACTGGCATAAATATTCTGGTATAAGACTTAGCTACTGCAGAACAACTTCCTCCTCTGGATGCTACTCTGAAACAGAAGCGACTTATCTCAGAATAAGTGTCCACATGAGGGAGCTACTCCAGAAAGATGAGAGTAGAACAGCTATTCTGATATCTCCCCACATAGGCAACCTGTTAACAAAATCAATGCGAGACAGTGTGCAAAAGTGAAAATATCCCTTTTTCTTGGCTTCTTCCACCTACCATATTTAGCTCATCTGATGGACAGATCCAGAGCCTCTCAGTAGTTACACTGATAAATGTAAAGTATGTTTTGTGAACCCACTGATGCCGATGTAGTCCTCTCCAGTTACAAGTTGAATGGCAGAAAGGCCACTAACCAACAGTGCATTGCAAATGCACATGTCAAATAAGAATCACAGGAGAAAAGCAAAGAACCTCAACAGCAGGAAACAAGGAGCAAGTTGTTATTAGATACCAAGCTGAAGAGCATAGTATGGAGACCTAGATTAGATAATAGAGAAGAAAACAGTCTCAGATGTGCCAGGCCTGTCCCTGCTTTAGTATTCTGCTCAACTCACATGAGCAGACTGAAGCCTTATCTAGACTAAGGTATGCTAAGAGCCTGAACAACATCCAAATCCTGGCCTAGAAGAGGCTTGAGAAACTAAACATCACAGCAGATGTTCTCAGCTTTGACAACCCAAGGGGAGATTTCTGCCTGGCTCTGCTTACCAGAATGTCTGGGACCAGACAGCAGTTGCCCACCAGAAGATGTGGGCATCCATACATTTCTTGTGGCTCTGAGCAGCTCAAATTCAGCAGCTGTGCTGTCAGAGTACAATGTGCAACCTTGGAAGGCACCAGGACAACCATCAAAAGGCAGAGAGGGGGCCACATGTCTTCTGCCAGCTGCCAAGCGCTGGTAAAAGTCACTTAGTTTTGCCAACACAACTGTAGTTCTGGGCTGCAGAGTCTTGCCAGCCAAGCTGGACACAGTTTCTGCTTATTAGCATCATGTATTTTCTTGAAGCCTCAGAGAGATTAATGGCTACTGGGAAAGAACTTACTGTACACTGGGTTAATTTAACACCGTGTTTGCTTTTAGCTTCACTGGGAATGACCAGCAAAAACTACTATAAGAAACTAACATACTAACAGCAAATCTGAAGGGAAAAATAACGCTAAGTTTAAACAGAGAAGTTAATTTCACATTTGGGACTAAAGTACGAAGGAAAATCCTGTTTCAGTATAGCAGAAAACGAGGGATTTTGAATTCTTGTGAGTAAATAACTTAAGTAGAAAAGGGCCAGAAAAAGAAAGAACACAGAATCCGTAGAAAGCCAGAAAGGCCCTGCTTCAGCTAATAACAACATCAGACCCAGTCTAGGGAGGACAGGACAGGACGCACAGGGATAGCAGAAGCAAGGGACGTGTCATCTCAGTGCAGAGCGAGTCACAGCGAGCAGGGCTGCTGCCGGCCCGAGATGTCCCAGGTGCTCGCAGCCCGGCCGGAACCGTGAGGGACGCTGCAACCCAACGTGGCAGCCAAGCTGCTCAAGGGCTTTGCACAGGTGCTCCAAAACTTTTTTAAATAAATGTTTTGTGTTCTGAGCCAAATCAGCCAAACCAAGTCCAAATCTGTGAGTCAGTCCAAAACCATAAGTGGCCCCACAACTGGCAAACATCCTCCACCCCCACCAGGAGCTTCAGATATTTTGAGGCTTTTGGCGGGCATCCTATGGGCAGGCCCAAGCCCGGAGGCTCGGGGTTTTGATGCCCCCGAGTTTTGCTTGCCTTCAGCCATATGGTCGCAGGAGCAAGCTAGGGAGGAGCCTCCCATTTCCATACAGTGGGCTTTAAGCTCCAACACCTCGGCGTACTAAACCAGGCCAGAAGAACAATTATCCCTGAGAGCCTTTAAGGAAAACCGCCTGCAAGGACCCATATACATGGTGTTTGAGCTGCCGCCTGCCCCGCTCTCAGACACTTCCA